TTGATTTTGGAGACCCTAAAATCAATATTATTGATTGTAATCAATATCGGATGCTCAGGGGAAGGTCCGCGCACAAATAATTCGTCATGCGCATGCAGTGAGCTGCTTTGCCCTGAATGCCGTCATTGCAACATGTGGAGTGGCCCATTTTGCCGCCTTGCAACCAGGGCGTCAGCAGGTCGTAAAAAAGTTTGCTGTCAGCATTGATTGACAGGGTGATGTTACAGTAGTGTAATCGCCGCCCCCCCACCCTCAATATCAAAATGCCTGTCTGGCCAGAATACATTTAACATTAGGTTGTGTATTTATCTATGGTAAAACAGTGCTTGCCGATTCCGTCGCCGCCTGGTCCAGGGCACAAGCCGGCATTCTCTTGGACCTCCAAAGTGTACATGCAGGCTTAACGTACGTGTGGTATTGCCTGACTTACTACCAAACTGGTTTTGGACTTGACTACGCAAATGTTGCTGCTTTGAGATAGGAGGCCGGCCGTTTGCCTTTTGGTTTGTGGCCCCGCGCTCCTTCCATAACTCCTTTTGAAGGCCTGTTTCATGTGCTTTGGGCATGTCTTTGCTCTGACACGCAGAAGCTTCAGGCACTTGCGGCATTGCCAAGCTTCCCCGACGTAGACCAAGCCATGTGACTCATCCTGTCGAGGTGCTTTATTTACTTGCGAGTGACTCTGTGGAACACGTCAAGGCTGTCGGTTTTCGCAACATACAACATGCACTTGGCACACTTCGTCGTTAAGTTGGTGGCATTCGCTGAGCCTTGGACCCACATATGGCCCAAATTCTGATCACCGCTGATCAGGCCCTCTACCACCCGTCGTTTATTGCTTGGAGGGGGGGCCGGAGGTTTCTGCTTAGCGAAATCCTTTTTTTGAGTAATTTTGCAAAATATGTTCCGCTCTCTTGCCCAAGAAGACAGATATGCATCTGCTTACTGGTTGAGGTATGACCTCCACTTCCAATCTTCTACGTATCTGGCCACAAATTGTTCTTGGCTTAGTACGGACATCCAAAACCTGTTCCCGTTGCGGGGAGGTGGTTTTGCTTACCACGCGGGATCTTTGTTGCCGCAGGGCCGCCTTGCAGTCCGTGGTCACATCCCAGGCCTGGGCTTGGTCTGCGCTTGATGCCTCCAAGACCGCTACCATGGCTCGGACTTCTCCGTCCGTTACCGTGGCTGGTCTAGGCAGAGTGCCGCTGCACGTACCTATGACTCGAATGCCTGCACCATCTCGGACTGCCGCAATCGCAGCCCATCCTATGGTCCTCGCGCGAGCATCCTGTCCCTTCGGGCCTCCTGAGGCGTCCGTCCCGAATAGGAAGCCGACAGCGGAAGTGGCTAGAGCATCACGTACAGACTTGGTAATGCAGTAAACGCAAATGACAGTTCTCGCAAGGGGCACTCTTGGCTTGGTTGGGCAGCACGTTGACTCCGAGAGCTCAACATATGCAACATATCTCAACATGTAAAACACAGACGTGACATTGCACCGCTCCGCGGGGACTCTCAGGCCTTCGCAGCTGTCGCTTTGGTTCGCAAAGGGAAACAAGTAGCGAGCGCCACACCCGAGTCGTAAAGTAAAGGGCACCTCACCAAAGCGTAAATCCTTCCAGGTCATGTGCGACAGAAAGGCATGCGGGTAGTGCTGCTTAAATATGCCGGCAGATCATTCAGATCAAGATTTGATGCTAAAGCCGTCAAAGTTGACCATGACATTTCCAGCCGCGCCAGCGAGACATTGCCCTTGGCAAATCTCTTTCCGGACCTTGAAATTTGAGCTCATGGTGGAAGCACAGGGCATGGGCAAGGACTGCGAATTTGGCACTAACAGCTAACATGTAGGACTACTGAATTGCGCACGCTTGATCTCACAAGTCTGACCAGGATACCCTTGAGCAGGCTTCGAAAATCCAGCAAGTGACTGGATGTTAGGAGGATGATGGGATGGGCCAGACCGACTCTTGACTGCAACAGAATGCTACGCAATCTACACTGAGGTTGACCGTCCATGATTCCTTGATGTCTGGCACAAGCTCATTGACTTTGATTGGCATTTCTCCATCATAAGGTCGTTTCCCACAGCTCCTGACAATCCTCCCTGGCGCTTGGGGCCGCAGCACACAGAGGCATGTGGTCCCAACAGACGGAGTCGTATCCCTCCACAACAGAATAAGTAGCCTTTAACTCCCGGCCCTGTTGAAACACTGAACCCCATTCTGGGGTCAATGTCAGCCGTTCTTTCAAGGTCTGGATTGTCCAGTCTGGGCTTAGATATAGAATAGGCCCGCAGGACCTTACGGCGAGGACATGTTCGTTGCACCCTGTCTGAAGGCTGTGGCAGATGCTGCCAAGGAGGCGCTGTTCTTTGATATTTTTCCACTGTGACCCTCCAGCGAAGCACCGTGCTAGAGAGAAGAATCCCCAGGAGCCGCCGCCCTGGCGCCGGCGCAAGGAGCTCCGGCAGCGCCAGGACCGCCGGGAGCCGCGGGCGGGGTCTGGTGGGGGGGGAAGGTGCAGTCGAGTTTGAAAGGAAAAGGCCGATGCTTCCGTGGCCATCGAGGAGGGCCTAGAGGCCAAGCACAGCGCTTCGCACTTTGCAGGGTAGAATGCCAGCATGGGTTCGAATTAGGTTCCCACAGCGCCGCCCAAAGAGCCAGCTCCCAGCTCCTGGGATCGAAGAATCTTGAATAAGGACATCTCGTAGCGAGCATCAGTTCAATCTCTGCTACTAAGGGGTCTTCGCCGTAGGCGAGAAGGTCCGGTACTGGAGCGGGACGCACAAGAAGTGGGCCTGCTCCTCAAATGGTACGGAGTGTACGGCTTGGGCTTTTGCTGATTTTGCTGATGCTGCTGATGCCATGGCTATGGCGATCATGTGCAGATGCTGTGCAGTTGTTGTTCATCTTGAGTTAGGTGGAGGCTCACGTTCAGAGAGTCAACCGCGACGCCGACGGCGTGTTGCAGTCTTACGACCTCACGGCGAGAGCGCAGGCCAATCCGGTTCAGCAGGGGCTGTAGATTCACAGGAGTCTTGCACACCAGGCGGAGATTGCAAGAGTGAAGGACGCTACTACCGCCGAGGATGCGTGCAAGCCACAGCTGCGCGCACGAACACACGAGCAACACATGAGCAATCTTAGATGAGAGATCAGCCAAGGCCAGCCCCTGCAGGGGACTCAGCCCTGCATGGCAGCCATGTAAGCAAGGATCATGCTTATCAGTGGCTTATCAGCTTATCACATATCAACATTGGCTCCTTTGGCTTACGAATGCCTAGGCCTCCAGCAAGCTGAGCACAGAAATCCCGGTGCAGGAGGCGGCGTCACCTAAACACGTAACCATTAACCTAACAATCTCGCGTTCCCCCGAGGCTTCTGGAAAGCCAGCAGCACACCCTCGTGCTGAGGCACGTGAAGCCAGACAGGACGTTCACGATCATTGAATGTGCCTGAATTTGAATGTGCTCAGATTTCTGAGATGAACACCAGTCCTGCGGTCCCAGGGGCACCGGCTGCAGAAACATCCGCGTGGCCAAGATTCAAAGCTAGCTTGCTGCAAGGTTGGTGTTGGTTTCGAGAATGGCCAGGAGGCGGCGCCTTCTTCAGAAGAGCAATTTCATTGCAGGTTGTCGGCGACTCTTGTCATCTCCTTGGTTGCAGGTTCAATATTTTAGCGGGACGAAGGAGCGATGGATAGATGCCGTGGCAGCTTGGCTGAAGAGGTGCCAGCAGGCCTCAAGTCTACTAAGTCGACCGGTCCACGGGCCTGATGGATTGAGGTCGAAGGCCACCATCTGAAGGCGGGAGCTGGGTATGCTGGGTAGGCTCCCTCTCTTACGAGTTTTGCGTTTTGGGAAGGACGGAGTCATTGAGTCCTACGACTTGAACTGCAAAAAGATGGTCCCAGCTGAGCGGCTACGCCGTGCCGGGGTCGAGTACAAGGTCGGGGCCCTGTCAAGAGTCGAGCCAAGCTTGAGCTGTCTTTTGATTTTGCAGCTTTAGCCTTGGCAGGGCCGGACACAGCCTGCAAAGTAGCCAGGTCTCGATTTCATCACAGGATGAGAGGGGACACGTTGGGAAGAGGTGAGTCGACATTGATTTTGTTGCAAAACTCACGATTCGTGATGTTGAGCATGCCTCGTTCTCTTTCTGCGGTGGGGAACTGCACTTGCATGGTCGGGGTACGAGAACCCTTCACGCTGAATGGTTGCATTGACCCTCCCTCTTCCTCCTGTAGTGTACTGGCGTGCTGACGACCTGGCCGGCTTTTCGTGCTGAGGTCGGCGAGCATGTAGAATATTGGAGCGCATCCGGACATCGGTGGATGTCCGCAAAGGCAGGATCAATCTGGAGTTGGGTGTGCGAGATCGTGCGAGAAGCGCGCGCATTGGCGATGTTGAGGTGGAGCGGCTGCATCCGCAGGCAAGGGAGAAAGGCACTGCTAGACTGCCAGAAGGATGAAGACGGTGTCTGCGACAGGCCAAGGCCTGCGACCTGGACGTGAAGCCTGGGGCGCCCCTGAATCGAGTACGAAAGGCCTGCACAGAAGGCCTCCCTCAACTTGCTGCGTGGTCTTCTGCGCTTTTGTGGAGGCCTGGCAGGGTGCCGATGCCGTGCCTGCCCTACCTAAGGCTGGACAAGAGCAGAAATCAGCCTGGCATTCTTAGGATGCCTGCAGGCCGTTCGCCCTATGCTCGGCACCGTGCTGGCCCATGGCGTTCCGACCCCGGGCCCCGCTATGCAACTCTGCAGGTTTGCAGCGGCTCACTGGCTCAGGTGGACGTGCCACCGCCTCCACTAGCGTGCAGCTTCAAAGCTGGAGATCAGGCACATCATTCAATTGCGCAGTCTACGGCCTACGGGGGGAAGTTTGGAGCCCGGTTTGCCGCCAGGTGCAATACTTCAGCGAGACGAAGCAGCGGTGGGTGGAGACCATGGTCATGCGCATGTTCGAGCTGGATTCCTTCTCGGTTGTCGTAACTAGGACTGATGATTCGCTCAGCACAGCAGCTCGC